CCAGAGGAGGTGACGCGCTGGAGCTCTACCTAAAGGGTGATGGGGATGCCCAGAGGAGGTGACGCGCTGGAGCTCTACCTAAAGGGTGATGGGGAGGCACCAGACAGAGAGCAGGGCGGCCGTGACGGCGCACTGGAGACTGGCGTGGTCAGAAGCAGAAAGATGGCAGGCGAAGAGAGGAGGAGCCAGAACATGGATAGTGAAGGGTCTTTGCCCTGGAGACCGGGGAGCCACAGGTTTCTGATTGAGAAAGACGGCCTTGACTGCAGAGGAGAACAACGGAAGCAGCAACGCCATTATCTTACTATTGACTGGGTTTAGGAGAGGCTCCTGAGAGAGCTGGGGAGCAAGGGGGTGGGGGATGCAGGTGGACATGGCAATGGAGAGGCGACATCGGGACGAGCCCCACCTCCCTCACAGTCCTATGCAGAGGGCCATGTCCTCAATAGACGGGCTGGGTGAAGTCCAGGAGCGGATTCTATCCAGGGCTGGCAGAGTGGTAGCCAACAGCTCCCTGGGGCACCCACAGGACACGGAGGTAGCTTTGCAGCCAGCACTCGGAAGAATCTGGAGGTCAGCAGATAAAACTGGAGATAAACATTTACGAGTGACTGGATTCTTGCATTCCCTGTCACTACCAAGAAGGCAGCCTGGGGTAGAACCAGGGCCTTAGGGGTGGGCAGAGGAGAAAGAACCACAGAACATCACTGCAATTTTTGGAGACTGATTATTGTTTTTGTTTATTATCGTTGGGAGATGTAGTTACAACCCTGAGCCAGTGGAGAGACAAGAAGCGTTATTAGCAGTTATACAAAGACATCTGCAGTCCCTTTAAAAACACAAAGATGCCCTCAGAGAGGTCACCACTCAAGGAACAGATAAGCCACTAACTGTGTAGTCCTGACAACCTCGCCACTTATCAGCCGGAGGGAAGCCAAGGCATTGAAGTCCGATTCCCCGACGACCAGAAGCGTCGCGTTCACACTGAGCATCAACGCGCTCATTCACACGGTCTCGTCCATGGAGGGGGGATGTTTTGTGCGTGGTGCTCACTGCCCTGTGTAAAGCCCAGAATGGCAGCTTTTTCCTCTAGGCGCAGTGGGAGACTGTGCTTGGATGGATCCTGATATCCACCAATACATTCGCCGTCAGTGCAAACAGAGACACCAACCGTCGCCCCCTGGGAATGTTATTTACAGCAAAGACAGAGGGCAGCCAGCCCCCCCTGGACCAAGCCTGGGGGGCTCCCTCCTCCTGAAACCTCCCCAGACCACACACCATCAGGGTGAGGGTTCGAAGTGAAGCGCTGCACCCCCACCAACCCCAGAGCCGGGCGTGGAGAGATCCCCGGAGTAACCGTCCCAGGGTGATGCTCCTGGAGGTGGTGGCCGACAATGCGCTCTCTGCTCTCCCGCCTTGCTCACCGTTTCTTTCCCAACCCACAGAGCTCACCAGGCTTCCTTGCCAGCGGCTGTCGGCTCCCTGATTCCTCCCGCTGTCCATGCCAAACAGGCCTCTAATTTTTTCAAAGCTGTCCTTCGCGGTCAGGTCACTCCACCAGCTCAAAACCCTCTGGGTGTTGCTTGCTGCTTTCAAACCAGCAAAGTTCGACTTTCCCGCCCTGGCACTCAGAGCCTCCGCTCCTGGGCTTTCTCCTGTCCTTCCAGGTTTATCACTTACCTGACCCCCAGGGGGATCAGTGTGCACCCGGGCGGGCCTGCTGCTTCTCAGCCGCGCCCAGCACTTGCGTTTCAGCTTCTGCTCCTGGAACACACTCCCCTCACCTGTGCCTCCAGGAGAACTCAGCCTTCTCTCTCCACCCTCTTTCTGCCCCGCCCTCCTCCCCACAGCCTTGCAAGCTCCTAGAGGGACTCACTGCCGGCTTCAGATCTGCAGTCAGTGTCCCCGAGCCTCAAATTCAAGTTCAAGTCCCCGAGCTCAAGCGCCGCGCCCCTTGAATCAGTCTCTGCTTTATTAGAAAAGTAATGTTGGGGTAAATGACATGATGCTCTGATTTGCTCTATAATGGTTTCAGGAAGGTTCTTTACACTGCATTTTACTATACAATATACTATAACCAGACTTTACTGTATTTACTATACGTTATACTATTTCCTCTATTTTTTTCCCTTTCCCTATTTTATTATTGTTTACTACTGTTATTTTATTATTTATTTTTACTATTTTCCTACTATGTACATGTTTCATAATGTCTGCAATAAAACATTTAAAAAATGAGGAAAGTGATATTAGGACAAGTGTCAGGAACGACTGTGTGTCTGTGTTCATCTCCCTGCGACTAGGAAAAACTCTAAGGAGCCCTAAACTCAGATGATCAGGCAGCCTGAGCCCCTCACAGCACAGGTGGACACAACCGGGTTCCTACTCAGTTGACAACTGACCCCTGAACCTCAGACTCAGACCACCGAGGGCTCCCCTTTAGGACCGGTGGGCATCTTGAACCACCCAAGTCCAAACCCAGCTCTGGGGTTTGCTCCAATCCTCTCTACCCCAGTCTTCACCATCATCTCGGTCAATGGTTGAATGGCTCATTCAACCACCCAAAAAGCCAGATTTCCCTCCCCATTGGCCCCCTCCCTCCCTCTCTCCCTCTCTGTCGGGAATGCATGCGAGTGCATATACACCCACACACCCATACCCACACCCAGGCAGCTCTACCTTCAGAACGTAACCTCCGTCTGACCCCCTCCCAGCACTTCCACACCATCATCTCTCAATTACAGTAATTGGCTCCTTTCTACCAGGTCTGCTGTGTCCACAGTCAGGACGCAGTAGCCTGCCCTCCCACAGTCCACCCCTCAATTAGCAGTCAGGACGTTTTTAAAAGTAAGTCAGGACTCTGTTCAAAACCCTCCAGAGGCTTCTTAGCTCTTAGTGTGCTTACAATGCCCTCAAGGCCCTCCATTATGGGTCCTTGCTAGCTCTGTGGCCCCGTTTCCTGAAGTTCTCTCCCTCCCACCACAGGGTCTTTGCACATGCTGTTCCTGCAGCCTGGGAGGCCCCTTCCTACACAGTCACCAGACTTGATCTCTCACTTCATTCAGGTCTCTGCTCAAATGTCACTGAATCAGCAGGGTCAGGCGTCTGCAACACCAACATCCCTCACCCCACTCTCTCTCTACTTTCCTTATCAACACTAGACACATTGTGTGCTCTTGTTTCCAGCCTTATTCCTCCACGAGAATGTAAGTGCCATGAGGCCTCGGGACTCTATCTGTTTTTGTCCCCCTGTGTTATGATAGACCTGAACAGAGCACGTTCTCAAATACGAACGAATGAATGAATTCTCTTTAAATAAAGACCAAGGTTCAGAGACATTTTGGTAGGTATCTCTGGGACAGTCTCCTTTAAAGAGCCAGAATCCCCAACAAGTGCCCCCTACCCCCACCCCGATGGCTGATGGGATGTGATTATACACAGCAGGCTGAATTTAGGAATCCTCGCCTATTCTGGAAATCTAAGTTATACTTTTTTAAAACACTGATGGGTTACCTGGGTGGGCACCTCAGACATACCTGGATGGCCTGGCCTACAAGTGTGGCCACCCTCCACTAGGGTCTGGATTCACCCGCAGGCCCCAGGGTCGGTCACCTCTCTAGGACAGCCTGCAGCTGCATGCAGCCTTGGTCAGGGCGGCCAGCGCTGGACCTCTGGACATCTGAGAACGGCAGGCTACAGCAGCCACTCCATCCCGCCACGCCCTCCAGACCACATCTGGACTCGGGGAAGCCAAGCCACCCTCTGCTCCCCTCGGTGGAGTCAGGTCTAGGAGGACAGGAAGGGGCCTTAAAGCTTACTTGTATCTGACTGGGAACGAATGAGTTTTTCTTTTCCTGTATAAAGGCTGATTCATTTAGAGAGAAAAGAGCCTGCTTCTAGCTCCTCCCCAGGAACTAGGAGGTCGGCCTCTGAACACACGACATCGCTGTGCCCAGATAGAATTATTTACAGATGCGGGTGGCAAACTTGAGAACCCACACACAGCCTCTCAGCTACACTTGTTGACTTGCCACTCCTCAGATTCCAGAATCACAGAGAACTCCTGTGGGGGCCTATCTGCCACCGTTCTGCCCGAGGAACCATTAAAACGCAAACCAAGAAAAACAGAACACGAGCATCTTTGGGGTGGAGAATGCCCTATGTGGGGACCCCAGAGTATGCACAGCGACGTGCCACATTCTTCCAGTGGCCCCGGCCTAGGAGGGTGCAGAGGGAAAGCTGGGGGCCTGGACCCTGCCAGGAGGAACAGGGCATAGAGTCTGCTCT